CCAGTGGATGCTCTGCAGTGAATGGGTGCCGTCAAAATGAGAGTCCAAACAGCTGATTTCTCACAAACACGCAGCTTCTCACTTCTCAAGGCATTAACTGATGGACTGGAGTGGTGTGGATTACTTGTGGATATGTTTTTATCAGCTGTTCGGACTCTCATTCTGACGGCACCCATTCACCGCAGAGCATCCACACAGGAAGGGAAGGTTTCACAGTGCATCACTTTTATTAAACACACCTGTGTTCATTGATCTCCATCTCCAACTCTGCAGCCTTCGAGGCCATACTGCGCTGCTCCTGTCGCATCCTCTGGAAAGTAGCCACCACCTGATTCAAACATGAGCACACATATGAACAACGCATGCATATTAATAAGGTGGTAAATTGTCAAATAATAAAATAAAATAATAATAGGAAGATGATTAGGTTCAAGTATACAGGTGCATTTAGAAAAAGCTTTCTGTCCCCTTGATGACTTGGGGAAAAAGGCTTGCTTGAATTATTTTGATATATAATTATTATAATTACCCTATTTAATATAACAACATAATATTAATATATATATATATACAAATAAAAAAATGTGTGTGTGTGGGGGGGTGTACAGATATATAACCCTGTATTGTAAATGTAAGTTCATCATCAAATATAAAAAAAAAACATAACGCGGCCATCACACATTACAGCAAACTGACGTTAAAGGGTTTATTGCAGGATATGAGATGCACGTAAAATCTATGTTAGCTTCATGTTTGAATATTAAGTCGTTAGCAATGCCCCTGAATGACTCAATTACTGTCACTCTTAATAGTTTCTCCTGTCCCGTGTTATAGTGTTGAATGGCAGGAATAGCGACAGACGTGCAGACGATGCACTTTCCTTATGGAGACAGGAGGGCATGTACTCGTTTCTAATGGGCGGAGACCTAGATTTATGAAATCACGGTGTCTTTTATATCTCATGCAGCAGATCTGAGGTTTGCATTGTTGCATGGCAGCTATAGACCAGCACAGGCGCGTCTCAGTCTGTACCGACCACACTACGCACTACACACCCAACATACATGCTTTACAACGCAACCTCAACACATCCATTACTAAGCACTGAGGGGCGTCGGACGCTCGCGGCTTTGTTGTTTATAGCAGGCGCGGTCTGGTTCGGTCGCGCCGCGTAGATTAAGTGTTCGCGTGTTACTGTAATAAACCCAATGCGCCGTTACCTGCTCGGCGGACGGCGCGGGCTGCTTTCCGCCGCTTTTACCGCTCGTGTTGTTGCTGCTGTTCGCCGCCATGATGAACTGCACCACACCGCACCGCACGAGTCAGGACCCCCAACGGTCACATGAGGGACTGACCGCGAACATTCCTGACTGCAATTACTGCTCGCTAAGAATAGAAACGAAAGGTGCTGTACGAGTTTTTTTTTTAAACCACACATAAAATTCCCATTTTCACCTGCCAGATTTTTTTATTTATTTATAGATTTTTTACAGGTTACCGTTTCTTGCAAAGAGTACGTTAGTTGTTGTTCCACAAGAGGCGCGGAAAGCACATACAGCATTCAAATTGAAGGACGTTTCAGTCTTATTGATGACATTTATACGAAACGATTAAAATTTTTTTAAATTCTATGATTATATACATAGATGGAAATGTAGTTTTGCAGTAAATAGATAAATAAACTCATCTTTTTCAGCGAATCACATCGACTTTCCTGCGATTGGTCCTTCCTGCTCTGCGCTGAGAAAAGTAACACGTGACAGCGCGGTCTCGGCGCTGTTTCTGAAATTGTGATCATTTAAACCTGAATAATGCTGCTGGTAAATAGATTACAATACCGATACTGGTGATAAACATTGTGTAGAAAATGCAAGGTACGTAAATATAAGAATTATTACTTAGGCCCAAAGTTCTGTCCAATCAGAGGCAGCGTCCTGACATATAAGCCCCGCCCACACTGAACTATCGTATCGGGGTTGCACGCGTATTTAGCTGTTTCTATACAGTCTACGGTATTTAGCCAAACATAAACTGTAATTTAACACAAACCGACTGGGTTGTTCTTTAACCCACTTCGTATTCTGAGAGTAGAGTCAGTTACGTCGTATGTTTTTAATGCGCCAGCTGTAGGGTTAGTTATTGCCTTGGCAGTGGCTGAAATGGGCTCAAAGTTCAATCTGTGAGAGTAACGTTAATTCAGTTTGGCAGGCTGTCGATGCGTCTGCTTGCTGCACTGAGACAGCGAAGGCCTTCAGCTGCTGTGGGTCTGTCGGCTTTGAGATCGAAGGCAGTGCGAGGACAGATCAGGCAAGAGTTTCTGCATGCATGCTGTTTTGTTTCTGTCCTTGTGCAGTGCAACACTTCTCATGCTCTTGCATGTTAATATCAGATCCTCTTTGTTGTGTTTTAGATGTGCACGAGGTTCTGATGACAGAAGTGTTAGTGAATGTATACTTTTACTTCATTTGTTGTAATTGCAATATAAATGGACAGCCATTACTAGTCTGGTGACTTTGCAGTGCAGTTTTCTTTAGTGTCCACATGAAGGCGCAACAGTGACACTGAGTCTAACCGTGGTTGATGTAGAAATAATGCATTTATTACTCATTTAAAGGTCACACTTGTGATCCTCGGCAGTCAAAACAGACTGAAGACTATAACTCTTTTTTTTTTTTCTTTTCTTTTCTTTAATTAAATACATGTATTTCATGGAACTATAGATTATGCGTCATTTATTTTTATATATTTTTTCTGGAGTCTGTGTTTTATAAATGAATAGAAATATATTATCAAAAGTACCTGTATGGTGTTTTTATTTTATTTATATTTA